CGGCTCTCTATGAAGTGCAGTCCTCAAAACCCCCCTCCGCTCCCTGAGCTCTTCCCGTCTCTCTCTATCTCCCGGCACCTCTGAACACAGTCAGCTGAACACAAGAAGTCTCATTGTTGCGCCTCAGCTGCCTGAGAGCCCTCCAGTCCTAAACGTCTCTTAACCGTTTCTGTTTGTGGCCTATTTAGAAAACAGCTGTTGCATTCACCAATCACATGCAACATGGAAGAGCAAGCCAACACCTTTTAACCCTCCACCCAGAATCGAATGAAACATTCCTGATACTTTATGACATATCCAGAATTGAAAGGACTCTATTTGAATTGCCAAGCAAACAGAAGCTATCTGAAAATTGAAGGACCTTGTCGCCAATCCCCGTTCGAAAGTTCATCATTCAAGTCCACTTTGAAGTCATATCTTTGTTTGGGAAAGCAAATGCTTTTCTATGAAGTATTGTATTGTAAAGAACCGTATGACAAAAGGCTCTCTGAGCAGCACCCACACACACACTCACAACACTCCCTATCCTCACTCAAGCGGCTACAGTTTTTCTGTTGAGGGTGAATTGAAACACAAGATTTAAGTTTGCTCTTTTTGTCATTGCAAAGAGATTAAGTTGCAAGGTTCAAAGTTGTGTACATACATACATGTATTATATATATATATATATATATATATATATATTAAAAGACAATGTGTGTTGTAGCTAGGGTTGGGTATCGTTTGAATTTGAACGATTCTGATTCCAATTCCGATTCCTTGTTTCGATTCCGGTTCCTAACGATTCTCGATTCCGATTCTTTTAAGAGGCAGGGTCAAAAAAGTTTAGCTAACCTTGCTAATCAACGGTCTTTCGGAAGGAAATAATCCTTTCTGAAGGAAATACTCCTGTAAAAATACTCCTTTTGTCACAAATTTTGCATTTTGCCGAGATTTCGTTATTTTTAGAAAAGTGAAGCCACACTTTGGACCGCCGACGTAAGCTACTCATGTTCGACTCGTGCGGTTATGCCAACACTTCCGGTAGACGCTTCTTCGTTGGTGTTGTTCAGCGGTTTCTTCTTCCGCTCGGTGGACTGTGAATATCGAAACTAGGAATCGAAATTTTAACTTTTGAACGATTCCGGGAAAAACGAAAAGTTAGTCCCGATTCCAATCGATACTCGATTCTCGATACCCAACCCTAGTTGTAGCTCACACTGTGTTTCCTCAGATACTGTGCATGTGTTATGTAAATGACTAGCCTCGTCATGTGGTTGCTCATTTGGAAAACTCCCATTTGATAACATTAAAACATGGTTAATAACAAATTCACGTGCGTATGAAATGTGTCGTGGGTTAGGCAGACAATTTTCATGATAATTAGCGACTAGAATATTCATGTTCTTAATTGTTAATCTCAAATGCAAGATGCATTCACCTTCTTACGGCCTTGGTGTACACCTGTATGTAGATCCAGCACAATGTGTTCATAAAAACATGGACTTTGTTGTTTTGGTTCACACTAGGCAGCTTTGGTTTGATTAAAACGAACTTTGGTGGGATTGCTCGGTTAGTGCGGTTCATTTTAATAATGCCATCCGAAAGCCACCTTTCCTTCCAATGAACTCTGGTGTGGTTTGATTGAAATATGAACAAAAACAGGATGTGATGGCATAAGTTGAGACCCTAATAAGGACAGAATGCTGGTTTTTCTCGTCATAGTAGCTACGTTGGCCATCACAAATCGGTTCAGGCATCAGAACTGCCATCTCTTTGCAGCAGATCTTTTATTTGTTTGTGTGACAGAGGAATACCAAGCACTTTTTTAACTCATACACATTGTATAAGCTTTTGTGAGTTCATACATGTATGAGCACACTTTGAACAATTCACTGTTTTGGATGTTCAAAATATGTTATAAAAGAGAATGCATGCACACTATACTTTTCTATTGAGGTTTTGGAACGGAATTTGAGCTTTTGTTCCCAGAGTTATCTCACCAGCCACCACACACCTAAACCTGTGTGTCGTACAGCTTAAACACACATAATCCCCCTAAGAATCCATAGACCGTAGTGGCATGTATAGGCCTACCAGCTGTCATTCAACATTTGTGACTGGTAGATTTACTAAGATAAACTCCTTCTTTCTGAAAGGGGTTGGGTCAGGTCTAAAAACGTCTATCTGTTAAACCATTGGAGATCAGGCCTGCATGTCCCAAAAGCATTGTGAGCCCAAGTTGATTGTGCAGACCACTTCCACCAATGTTCAGTCAGTAGTACCATTGCTTTAAAGGGTTAGTTCAATCAACAATTTTAAAATCTTCATTAATTATTAGCCTCATGTCATTCCAAACCCATAAGACTATCGTTCATCTTCGAAACACAAATGAAGATTTTTAATCCCTCCATTGAGTCTACACAACCATCACTATGACGCTTCAAAAAGTTAAGAGATCGTAAAACGAATCCATGTGAGTTAAGCGGTATAGTCCACATTTTCAGAAATTTTCACATATAAACATTAATCAGCGAACAGAAACTCAACCGAACATGCCTAACACATCATAACTAGGGTTGGGTATCGAGAATCGAGTATCGATTGGAACCCAGACTAACTTTTCGCTTTTCCCGGAATCGTTCAAAAGTTAAAATTTCGATTCCTAGTTTCGATATTCACAGTCCACCGAGCGGAAGAAGAAACCGCTGAACAACACCAACGAAGAAGCGTCTGCCGGAAGTGTTGGCATAACCACGCGAGTCGAACATGAGTACCTTACGTCGGCGATCCAAAGTGTGGCTTCACTTTTCTAAAAATAACGAAATCTCGGCAAAATGCAAAATTTGTGACAAAAGGAGTATTTGTGACAGAAGGAGTATTTCCTTCAGAAAGGCCGTTGGTTAGCAAGGTTAGCAAACTTTTTTGACCCTGCCTCTTAAAAGAATCGGAATCGAGAATCGTTAGGAACCGGAATCGAAACAAGGAATCGGAATCGGAATCGGAATCAGAATCGTTCAAATTTAAACGATACCCAACCCTAATCAGAACAAACTTCACTGGTTCTTGCTGAAGCTCAAACGTGCTGCGTAACATGAGAACAAACCTCATTGGTTCTCACACGTCAAGCAAGCATGATTGAGTTTCTGTTTACCATGAATATGTGAATAAAAGACTCAATTGAATATGTTCATCATATAAAGTGAATGAGTATCTTCAAAAAAAATCTGGTCTAAACCGCTCAATTCACATGGATTAGCTTAAAGATCTTTCTGAAGCGTCAAAGTGGTTTGTGTAGCTGTCAATGGGACAGAAAGCTCTCAGGCATAATCCCAAATATCTTCATTTGTGTTCCGAAGATGAACGGGTCTGAAAGTCTTACGGGTTTGGAACGACATAAGGGTGAGTAAATAATGACAGAATTAAAACATTTTGGGTGAACTAACCCTTTAAACATCCTCAAAAATTATGAAATGAGAATGTACAAAATTCATATTGGGGTTTTCAGTCAAACCGTTGTGTTAGAAGGAAAGAAAATTCCATCCTGCATAGAAAGAGCAATTAACAGCTAATGTGATAACCAAGTGTGTGCATGGGAACAACACTCTTTGAAATCGTCTTTTTTTTCACAAAACCAAATCATAACAGACATTAAATAGTTATCATGAATTTCGTTCTTCTTTTAAAACGTGGCTTTTTAGCATGCAAATATGTCAACAGTGATTTTTATTTTATTGTTTTTTTTGTTTGTTTTTTGTGTGTGTTTGTTTTGGTTTGTTATGTTTTAATTATATTTGTTGTATTTACATTGTATTTTTTAGGTTGCCTATTGTACATCTGGCCCAGGACTGCAGATGAAAACTAGCCTTTTGGCTAACTCTGGCATATTTTGACTTGTCATGTTAATATGCACTGTCCTTGTAATAAATAATAAAAAAAAAATCAAAAATACGGGCACATGTAAGCATCCCTAACCTGAAAAACTGCAGGTACTCAATTTGAGATCGATTTTGCTTCCAGTCCAGAGGAGCACTACATTTATAGCTCTATATACATGTTATTCAAGACTTTTTGATATTAATCTGGGTCAGGGCTGATTTAGGAAGGCAACAGATACCTGAAAGGATCAATATGAGGCTCCCTGCCAAACATCTGAATCAGTCTGGAAGAGTAAAACAACTCCCGTTTCTTCAGTCAGTCTCTTTGCACAGTGCCAGACCACCAACGACTGGGTTTGAACCACTGAAGCACTGCTTGCATGAGGTGGCACACCACTAACAACCCTCAAACCACACGGACTACAAGCTGTTCCACCACTTCAAACTAAAACATCCAAAACAGGAACTTAGCCGTCGAAGAGACAAGAATGTTGGCATTTCAAAAAGTTGTTAAAATCGAAATAACTTTATAATTTGCTCTCTGATATTGCAGTAATTCACACGCTGAGTTACAGTCATTTAGCGGTCCTATAAAAACCAAACCTGAGACTGGAGAAGAAATGCACAGTGCATCAAACCTAAATGAGAAACACACACCAAATATAGGGTTTATATGTGTATCAAGCTTATTCAGTAGAGAATGAGCAGTAAAATGTGCAGCTATTGTTGAAATGATTTAATTCACTAGTTCATTGAAATTAAAAAGATGACGGAGATTGGTTTAATGAACATAAACTCAAAAATGTATGTACTCTGAACCACATTAAATAGCCTATTATTAAGTTGATTTGACTGACAAAATAAAAAAAGTTGAGATATTCCATTAAAAATGTGTACATACAGAAAAATGCATTTCAGTAGGAAATCAACAAACAAACTATTCCTGTTGTAACTCTTCAAGCACTGACAACTATCTGAATACATATTTTCTATTTCGTTTGTCATCAAAACGGTGACCAAACGTAGTGATCAAAACAAATTAAAAACATAAACCTCGAAATTCTCACCAAACATACAGAATAAGTCCTACGTGATCAGTTTGTGATTCAAAAATGCAGCACATTGATAATTTGAAAGAATCACCTCTCCATTAAAGGTTTCATCACCAGAGGCGCGCGCTCCACTCATCAACAGCGCCAGAAGAGAATACATTAGAGTCCGTCTCCACAGCAACGAGAACGGGTCATCCCATAATACTGCCATCATTCTCATCGGGATCAGTGATGGTGGGTTCCTCAGATTAAACTCTTTATAGTGTAACCAAAACTGTCTATAACTAAAAACGCCAAGTCCAATGCACTCAGATGCAAAACAATCTCATCGTGGGCTCGCTTCTAGTCGCGTGTCCTTTCTGCAGAAGCGCAAAAATCATTCAGTGAGATTCAAACACCAATTCCAGTCAATAGGGTCCGATGCTGTGTCTGAAGTTTCGGGGTGTGTTAGGTTAGGTATCATATCCCGCGGGTGTGCCCACTTAATGGTCGTTTCATCCCACTCACGTGCTGCCCATAAAATTAATTACATCTACAACCTACTTCAAAGCAGAGACGCCATGCAAACTTGCGTTGCAATTTCCTCTTGCGGCATGACTCTGTAAATACTTGCTGGTTTTATAGAGGTGCACAGATATGGGACAGAAAGTCGCTCGTGAACGATGCCGTCGGTCGTCGCGTGCATCGACCACAACACAAGAGCGCTCAAATTGTTCGCAGATGACGGCAACACTCTCTGACACCTGCCTTGGATCACCGCCCTGCTTGTAAAGATTTAATATGATGGTTTCTTCTCGATAAAATCCTCGTTGTCTCTCAGTTTTGTTGGACGGTTTCCGCTTGTGACGCCCCTCATGTGTGCAGAGAGTGACTCGGACTTTGTGCCGAGTCCTGCGGTGTGTCCCGCTGCCGTGTAGAGCTGGAGGAGGGGCTCAACGCGACGGACATCAGTAAAGTAGCCAGTGCCACCTCCAGTCTGGACATTTATCCTAACAAAAATACATGCACATGTTCATGCACTTTTTGAGCTATGCATAAAAATAAAAAAGTAGGCTGCTAATATGAAATTACACAATTACCTTATAAATAACATAAATAAACAACAGCCTAACAGTTACAACAGGTTCCTAGCAATTCTAAGGGGGAAAAAAATCTGAATTGCAAGATATATGCACAAGATACTCATGACAGAATAGTACGGAGCCCCTTAAGGGATATGGTGATGGATAAAAACATTTGAGATGGAGGAAAAATTATCTGTCAATGCTTCTGCGTTCACTTGCTTTTGAGCTCTTTGCGAGCAAACGCAAAGTTTACAGGGGGAACACAAAAGGTTCTGCGAGCAAACGCAAAGTTTCACAGGAACACAAACGTTTTGCGAGCGAACGCAAAGTTTCTCAAGGGAAGGCAAAGGTTTTGGAAGCGAACGCAAAGTTTCATGGGATCACAAACGTTTTATGAGCAAACGCAAAGTTTCACAGGAACGCAAACGCTTTACGAGCGAACGCAAAGTTTCTCGAGGGAAGGCAAAGGTTTTGGAAGCCAACGCAAAGTTTCATGGGATCACAAACGTTTTATGAGCAAACGCAAAGTTTCACAGGAACGCAAACGCTTTACGAGCGAACGCAAAGTTTCTTGGGGGAAGACAAAGGTTTTGGAAGCGAACGCAAAGTTTCACAGGAACACAAACGTTTTGCAAGCGAACACAACGTTTCTCTGAGAACTCAAACACTTTACGAGCAAATGCAAAGTTTCTCGGAGAACTCAAACGTTTTACGAGCTAGCGCAAAGTATCTCGGGGAACTCAAACGTTTCACAAGCGAACGCAAAGTTTCTCGGAGAACTCAAACGTTTTACGAGCTAACGCAAAGTATCTCGGGGAACTCAAACGTTTAACAAGCGAACGCAAAGTTTCTCGGAGAACTCAAACGTTTTACGAGCTAACGCAAAGTATCTCGGGGAACTCAAACGTTTAACAAGCGAACGCAAAGTTTCTCGGGGAACTCAAACATTTTACAAGCTAATGCAAAGTATCTCGGGGAACTCAAACGTTTAACAAGCGAACGTAAAGTATCTCGGAGAACACAAACGTTTTACGAGCGAACGTAAAGTATCTCGGAGAACTCAAACGTTTTACGAGCGAACGTAAAGTATCTCGGAGAACTCAAACGTTTAGCAAGCGAATGCAAAGTATCTCGGAGAATTCAACTTTACGAGCGAACGCAACGTATCTCGGAGAACTCAAACGTTTAACAAGCGAACGCAAAGTTTCTCGGAGAACTCAAACGTTTTACGAGCTAACGCAAAGTATCTCGGGGAACTCCAACGTTTAACAAGCATACGCAAAGTATCTCGAAGAACTCAAACGTTTTACGAGCGAACGTAAAGTATCTCGGGGAACACAAACGTTTAACAAGCGAACGCAAAGTTTCTCTGAGAACTCAAACGTTTTACGAGCTAACGCAAAGTATCTCGGAGAACTCAAACGTTTAACAAGCGAACGCAAAGTTTCTCGGAGAACTCAAACGTTTTACGAGCTAACGCAAAGTATCTCGGAGAACTCAAACGTTTAACAAGCGAACGCAAAGTTTCTCGGAGAACTCAAACGTTTTACGAGCTAACGCAAAGTATCTCGGGGAACTCCAACGTTTAACAAGCATACGCAAAGTATCTCGAAGAACTCAAACGTTTTACGAGCGAACGTAAAGTATCTCGGGAACACAAACGTTTAACAAGCGAACGCAAAGTTTCTTGGAGAACTCCAACGTTTAACAAGCATACGCAAAGTATCTCGGAGAACACAAACGTTTTACGAGCGAACGTAAAGTTTCTTGGAGAACTCAAACGTTTAACAAGCGAACGCAAAGTTTCTCGGAGAACTCAAACGTTTAACAAGCGAACGCAAAGTTTCTTGGAGAACTCAAACGTTTAACAAGCGAACGCAAAGTTTCTCGGAGAACTCAAACATTTTACGAGCTAATGCAAAGTATCTCGGGGAACTCAAACGTTTAACAAGCGAACGCAAAGTTTCTCGGAGAACTCAAACGTTTTACGAGCTAACGCAAAGTATCTCGGAGAACTCAAACATTTTACAAGCTAATGCAAAGTATTTCGGGGAACTCCAACGTTTAACAAGCATACGCAAAGTATCTCGGAGAACACAAACCTTTAACAAGCGAACGCAAAGTATCTTGGAGAACTCAAACGTTTTACGAGCGAACGCAAAGTATCTCGGAGAACTCAAACGTTTAACAAGCGAACGCAAAGTTTCTCGGAGAACTCAAACGTTTTACGAGCGAACGTAAAGTATCTCGGAGAACTCAAACGTTTAACAAGCGAACGCAAAGTTTCTCGGAGAACTCAAACGTTTAGCAAGCGAATGCAAAGTATCTTGGAGAACTCAAACATTTTACGAGCTAACGCAAAGTATCTCGGGGAACTCAAACGTTTTGCAAGCGAACGCAAAGTATCTCGGAGAACTCAAACATTTTACGAGCGAACGCAAAGTTTCAAGTAGTGTTCAATGGGAGCAAAGCAAAGATGAAAACAACACGCACAATAACAGAACATAATAATTTAAAACAAGCGTTAGAGCAAATACTTTACTTTGTGAAGAAACAATACAGAAACAAACTATCTGTGAAATTAGATACTAGTAACACTTCCGCGAATATTTGTATCATAGCAAGCAAAGCGTCTCAACTGAAAAAAACAAACAAACAAACAAACAAAAAATGCTGCACTGCCAAAACGCTCTCAAGCCCCCACAGCTCGGTGTTTTCAGCTGGATAAAACCGCCTTGATGGACATTCAAGAGAGAAAAAAATCACTAGGCCTATTATCCTTTTTTTAATTCTGTTGCGAAAACAAGCATACAGAGTTGTCACTTTAGAGACGGGTCTCCAATCCTGGTCCACTGTCCTGCAGAGTTTTGCTTCAACCCCGATTAAATAAACCTAAATCAGTTAAAGGGTTAGTTCACCCAAAAATGAAAATTAAGTCATTAATTACTCACCCCCATGCTGTACCAACCCCGTAAGACCTTCGTTCATCTTCGGAACACAAATTAAGATATTTTTGATTGAATCTGAGGGCTGGATCACTTTTCCATAGACAGCCTGAGGGACTGCCTCTTGACGGCCCAGAAAGTCATTAAAAGAAAAGGTTTAAATATTCCATGTGCCTACAGTGGCTCAACTATAACTTTATCAAGCGACGAGACTACTTTTTGTGCGGAAAAAAAACGTAAATAACGACTTTATTCGACTTTCCATTACTTCCTTATGGGCGCATGCGCGAGAACTGAGACGAGACCGTTCTTCTTCGACTACTTTTTGTTACCGGCTGCTCACCGCTTAGGAGTTTTACCGCCCCCTACCGTATAAGATGACGTACTGCTTGTAAACAGAACGTTTTGCGCCTCCGGCTATATCAGTACGTCATCTTATACGGTAGGGGGCGGTAAAACTCCTAAGCGGAGCAGCCGGTAACAAAAAGTAGTCGAAGAAGAACGGTCTCGTCTCAGTTCTCGCGCATGCGCCCATAAGGAAGTAATGGAAAGTCGAATAAAGTCGTTATTTACGTTTTTTTTTTTCGCACAAAAAGTAGTCTCGTCGCTTGATAAAGTTATAGTTGAGCCACTGTAGGCACATGGAATATTTAAACCTTTTCTTTTAATGACTTTCTGGGCCGTCAAGAGGCAGTCCCTCAGGCTGTCTATGGAAAAGTGATCCAGCCCTCAGATTCAATCAAAAATATCTTTATTTGTGTTCCGAAGATGAACGAAGGTCTTACGGGGTTGGTACAGCATGGGGGTGAGTAATTAATGACTTAATTTTCATTTTTGGGTGAACTAACCCTTTAATAATTGGTCTTAAATCCAAGTTTACACATCAAAGGTGGCACAGAAGCTCTTCAGAAGTGGTATTTACGTGTCTTTACACAGACTGTTTAACATTGCTCAGAGGAGACATAAATGTATTTACACATCAGTTTCAACTAGTTTTGTTATAAAAAACGATCCTAGTTAATACTGACCAGATAGGGGCTGAGGTGGGTCAGAGCAGGCATACTTTACTCTGGATTTTATGCTGCATTACTTTTTACACAGGATTTTAAGCAGGTGTAAAGATGCCTTTTAGACATATCAGATGCTTCGGCTGCATTCACAATTGCATACCTCCCTACATAGTTGAAAATAAGTATGAATTCAAAGTGTAGGCAAAAAATATCCAGATGATTAACTACAGTAATTTGGCGTGATTATGAAGTGTGTATCCGATGGACACTTTACTATCCCATGAGGCCACGGGAGAGGATTTGTGAATGGTGGTGAAGCGACGCGACAGGTGCTGGTAGGGCACGTGATAAGGGCAACATGGCGAATATAGATTGCATTCATACTAGAACATACTTTTTAGCATTTGCGTTAGTGAAGTAATTACTTATTTAAAATAAGTATGAACTCGAAAGTATGTGATTTCGGACTCAGCCTTCCAGGAATCCCTGCTTTAGAGTTTCTTGCAATGGCCAGACTTTATGAATTATGCTCTGGACAATTTCAGACAGTTACACTATTTTAATTTTAGATTGGTTGTTAACACAATGGAAACAAATGAACAGGATGCCAGTAGCGTGTGTTGAATTCACTCACATTCAAGAACAGCCCTGTGTGACTCAGAGAATCTCTGTGACCGAATCAGAGAGAGTGGATTGTGTAAATTGATAAACCGACTGTCAGATAATGGGACAGCGCCCTCTACATGACACGTGTTGTGTTGCAAGACTTTAAAGTAGTGCATCCCGAGGCTTAGAATAAATCATTTCATTATACTTTTGGAAAAAAAAACACTCGAGAAGCAATGACGGGCTTTGAATATTAGCCTATGTGAGCTCTGAAAACAGCGAGCTATAGACAAGTACTTGGTTAAAAACTACACAATTAAAAGAAAAACACTATGAAAGAATGTAAAATTGATTTAGTGATGTTCACTGATGGTTCAAAGAACATGGAGAAGCAGTGTATCACAATTTGACAAAATGATCAGCAAAAGTGTAGATCTGGTGGCTATAAAAAGAGTGTTTTAGTTGAATCAGTGTGTCAGACTCAGCACTCAGAAGTCTACAATCAGGGAAATCATGCAGATGTGATATTCTACATGAAATATATTAAATGATAAACAGGAGTCATGGGGGTTTGAGTATCATGTTCATTTGAGTTCCTGCACATGTAGGCGTGAAAGGAAATGTGAAAGTGGATATATTAGCTTAACATCTAAACAAATGTTTCATGATACAGGAAGACATTTATATAATAATCAAAGACATGATGGTATTTGCAGAGAGATGGTTAAAAGTTGAAGGGAAGGGGTCATTACTCATTGCAGAAGGGCATAAACAGGACTCAACATGGCACTTTACATAATAGGTAAACACCCAAATAGCTTGTTGTGCTTATAACTAACCAACCAGAGTCTGTCCAACATGTGATAATATAATTTAATGCATATTTAATGCTGAGACTCTTCTTTAAGTGTACAGATGTGTGTGTAGATGTGACGTAATGACGCAAAGACATGCTCGAAACTCCTGTGGAAATCCACCGGTACCACAGGAATTAAAAACATTATTACACATTGTGTGTAGATGTGACGTAATGACGCAAAAACCAAAGAAATCTCCCAAAGAAATCCACAACTGGAATTAAAAACATTACAAGCTAACTGTTTTGAATCGAGCTACGGCAAGCAGAGAGTTTTGAACACTGGCTGGTTATGTATTTGCTCAAAAATGTATTTTGGATCATTTTTAACCCCAAAAAAGCTACGGACTGCAGCTTTAACATGTGAATTGTATGAAATCTTTTGTAAATTTAGCACAAGTAGTTTGCTCTTAACTGGTTTTACTTAAATCGTCAGCCTGCATGCATTCCTGAGACTCGTGTACTTGTCATTACCCGGGCGGCTGTCTCTAAAAAGCAGTCTGTTTGATCGGTCTTGTGTTTTACACAGGTGTATTAAAGGACTGCGGCGAATGTCGGAGATAAGAGAATAGTTGTGTGTGCTAAGCTGTCAGATAGAGTGCTTCCTAACATCTGTCAACACACAAATTAAAGCCCTTTTCAAATCCACACAGAAATGATAGCATAGACCCGCCTAAAGAAGAGCTAGTGGTCCGATCAACTTTACAAATACTCAAACGGTAGATTAGCAGATCACATAGCAGGGCCTTTAATCTATAGTTTATCTTGAAAAACTTATATTAAAAATAATTTGTGCCCTAGCTTGTTGGAAATTGATGGCTGCATGGATTTTTTTTAAAATTTTTTTTTAAATGCCACACAATTTTTTTTTGTACCAATCTCATTTAGGCCTACTTGTTAACATAATTCATTGCTAAGCATGAAAAACTTCGATGTTTGTTTGTTTGTTTGTTTGTTTTCAAAGCTATGTAATAATCCAGTTTTCCTCATAGTCAAATGTTTTTTTCCATGACTGACCTCATTTATTCAAATCAAGTCTTCAGAAGAAAGTTCTTTTAATATTTTTCTAGAGAAATAAAATCGTATTTTTAACATGATATGAATATCATTATAACACCATGGAGATTTTTGTAAGTATAAAGTTGTATTTGAACCAACAGTATTTATATTGATGTAAATTAATAACCTCACATGGTAACTATGAAAATGTGTACAGTATTACAATATGATGAGTAAATTACAGTTAACCCTTAAGAAACGATAGTAGCTTGTATTGCTGAGGATTTGGTCATATCATATATCATATCATGCCAATGAATGCCATTTCTATAAAACAGACAACAGTCTTTTTTTTGCTATTCTTTCATTTTTGTTTTCTTCATATGTGTGCATGTGTACAGTACGTATGTTAATGGTATTGCTGAAAGCTAAATGTGATGACAATGATGTCTTTGTGCTCTGTCATTAGTGGAGCTCACTGAGTTTGACTGAAGCCACAACATTTGAGTTTTGCTCTTCACTTCTGCAAACTTTCCACAGTGAACACAACTTCGGCCTATGACTAAAAACAGTAAGGTACGAAAAGAAAGATTGCATGTATTTAAACTGAAATGTTTGGATTATACATATGTTAGGCCTATTTAGTCTGTGTTTATTTATTGATTATTAAGTTTTTATAAACCATTTTAACAATGAAAAGATTAACCTTTTTTATTGTGGTTATTACATTTACTTTAATCGATTTGTCTTTTTGTATTTGATTTAATGTATGTCTATATCCACAGAGTTGCAGATATGAAACTCCTGCTACTTCTGATCATGATCTGTGGATTGGTAAAAAATAAAGCTTCAGTACAACCAGAAAGGCGCGACTCCTGTAAGTTACTCATCCTGAAATCACACAGTATTTCATTATCATTAGTCTTGGACTCCAGATCTCATTGAGATCTCAGTGTGATATTGCTTTGGTACATTACCTTTAGAAAATGTATTTGCATAAAGTCTGCACATTCATAATCCAATACAATTTAACAACTTGTATAAAATTGTTTAATTTTTTTGGAAAAAGTATGCTCACCTAGTCTGCCTTTATTTGATAAAAATATAATTTATTCTTGTGATCAAAGCTGAATTTTCAGCATCATTTCTCCAGTGTTCAGTGTCACATGATCCTTCAGTAATCACTCTAATATGATGATGTGCTGCTCAATAAACATTTATAACAGACTGATAAAAAAGGAACATAATTTTCCTATGAACTCCATAAATTTTAAATGATTATACTATTTTATAATATTATGTTTGTACTGTATTTTTGATCTAATAAAGGCAAAACTTCTTTCAAAAAACATTTAAAACATATTCCAGATTATTCCAAGTTCATTATAGTTGAGCTAATCAGTTTTCATTTATATTTTTCCTTGTAAAACTAGGGAAAAAAAAGAGATAAAATAAGAACTTGAAGCAAAACCAAGTGTGGAAAAGAAGTTGAAAAGTGTCTTGTTATAATAAATTTTCCCTTAATCTATTTTAGTGCCAAATACAGCATCATATGTTACCAAACCAGCCTGCAACGACGTCTCACAGAACTGTGCTAAAGAACAACCAAAGACAACTGAAAAAACCCACGCTACAAAACGGTATAAATCACTCTTTTTTAATTAATTTTTTACAATATTTGTATTATATTAATCTTGTGTTCATTTGGTTGTATCCTTGTTGATGGCATCATTGTGTAGAGAGCGAGAAGTTATACAGAGTGTTATAAATACGACGGAGGAATCGCAGACCTACAATTTTCCAAATTTCATTATTGCCGTGATTATGGTGAACAACATCAAGACATCCGGCTGTCTATCAATCACGGCTCCAAGTGTAAGACTCTTTACCCAAAGGTCTAAACCTTAGATTACATTATTTGTTAAAGTCTTTAAGATGACACTGAGAATAGGTTGCAGCTTAATTTTTTTTGACAATTTGAAAAGGTTACATAAAAATAAATGTGTATGTTTAAATCATGACTTTTATAGGCTAAGTGTTAACAATACAGTGAATTACTTCATTAATTCCTTTTTAATTGTATTTAAGTTGCTCAAAGAAGCTCTAAAAATAGACACATGGATCCCAATGGAGGCTTTCGAGCGTGCCACCCAGAAGAAAGTTGGAGTAGTTGTCTATGATTCAAATCAGCAGTTTAATGTAATGTTTTTCATTTGTTCTTTCTGTTTTATAAGACTCTTAAACCTGATCTTTAGCCCTTCACTCTTTATAATACCACCTGCCTGTCTATGGTTGTCTTCACAGAACCATGATGCTATAGTGTCCAAAGTCATACGGATTGAAATTCCTGGACCCGACATTGTGAATTTGACCGATCCACTTATAATAAATTTCACACTCAGTAATTTCACAAATCACACAAACGTAAGCTTACCTTTTCAAATTATCTCCTAATGCTCAAAAATATTATTAATTTGTTTATTATTTTCTTTTTTGTGTGTGTTGATATTCATAGGGAAACTATTCTTGTCAATACTATGATGAACAAGGTGAGTGAGAACTGAAGGGATTATTCACTCAAAAATGAAACAAACTGTCATCATTAACAACCCCTCAAACCAGGTGCTGCCCCCCCCCTTTCCATTGAACACAAACAAATTATCATCACGCTTCCTCTTTAACTTTAAAACAGGAATAAACTATGAGAAAACTTCCCTCACAGTCACACCTAATTATTTTTCAATTACTTTTTTTTGTATTTCTCTTTTTATGACAGACCACACTGAAGCCCACACTCGAAACCTACAAAAAAATTAGAAAGATTATGAACGATTAATTGGAACACATGAGTGTTTGTAAATAGTGACATTTTTGTTGTTGGTGTTGTTGTTTTGGGGTGAATTATCCCTTTAAAAATAGTGCTAAACTGACATATAAGCATTATTACATACATAATTTAAATTCTTAATTTGTTTGTGCTAAAATCCATTTAATTCTCATGGAATATGCAGGAAACGAAACCTGGAAAACGGATGGCTGTAACACCACTCAGCTCCCTGATGTTGTGAAGTGCTCCTGTAATCACATGACTGCTTTTGCTGTGCTTCTAGTGAGTGCTGAGCCACTACAGAAATCATGCTGTGCTGATATTATTTTAATAAAATGTTTTCCCTCCTTCTCTCTGAATAGGTTGAGGTGAACAATATTGATGAACGCCAGTGGGAAATCTTGTCGTACATCAGCTACATAGGCTGCAGTCTGTCTGCGATCTTTTCTGCTTTCTGTGTCTTGTCGTTCATTTTCAACAGGTGCTGTTCTGTTTTCATATAAATGCATAAATAATCTGTGCTTTGATTCACATTATTATTTACACTAATACCAAGATTATGCATATAAACCCATCAAATATCAAATATATATCAAAATCGTCTTCCATTGCGATTTCCTTTAGATCTAGTTTAGAAAGGTAACACTTACGAAATCTTTGTGTAAACAATGAGTGACGTACACGGACGAGAGATCACTTCTGGCGCTTGCGGAAGCGCCGGAAGTGATCTTTAGATTCAGTCTTGATTTTTAGATTCAGTGCCTAAGATTCTCCAGCAGGGACTGGTAGTTGGTATTGAAATCCCCATTGTGTCAGCTGACGCAGCGTTAGGGAACCATGGTTACATGCGTAACCTGAGATACTCCATTTTGAGGACAGCAGGCAATACTACTATTCGTGTCTCACTCCTTCATTGTTCGCCCACTTCAGTACTGGCAGTTCAAAGGTTAACGAGGCACTGCATCAAGGCATTTCCATAGCGTCAACACCAGGAGGCAGCGTTTCGTTCCAATTTACATACGTAACCTTGATGTTTTTGCTGCTTAGTTTTTTGTGTAAACCGTAAAACATTTTGTTTTAGGATTCTTTGATGAATATAAAGTTAAAAAAGCATTTATTTTAAATAGAATTTTATAATGAATTATGAATTTTATTATGAATGTCCTTACTGTCACTTTTGATTAATTTAATGTGTTCTTGCTGAACAAAAGTATTTTTTTTACTTCAACCAAACTTTTCAGCCTTGATGCATGGAAGAGGATAAAAAAACAAAACTATCTTGAGATTAAAGTCATTATTTTATTTTATTTTTTATTTAACCTTTATTTAACCAGGTGAGCACATTGAGAACACATTCTCATTTACAATGGCGACCTGGCCTTGCATTTAATTTGCATTATAATGCAAATTAAACGTTATATTTCAAGAAAAAAAGTCGAAATACATTCTTGAGAATAAACTCATTAAATTTCGAGAATGAAGTTGTGTTTACGATCTTCTCACGATTATTTCGACTTTATTCTCGAAATTTTATGAGTTTATTCTCAAAATTGTATTTCGACTTTTTTCTCTAAATTCTCACATCATAATGACTTTAATCTCAAGATTTAAAAACAAATTTTTTTTTTAAGTATTTGAATATTACAAAAATCTTACATATCGTACCTTTAAGTGTAGGCTACTCCTTCATACTTCATTATTTCAAAATGGAAATGTTGAATTTTTTTATTAACATTAATTATTTAATTTTATTTTATTAACATTAATTATTTTTATCAAGATTTTTTTTTTTTTTTTTAAAAATAAGTATTTGAATTTTACAAAAATCTTACATATCGTACCTTTAAGTGTAGGCTACCCCTTCATACTTCATTATTTCAAAATGGAAATGTTGAATTTGTTTTTATTAACATTAATTATTTAATTGTATTTTATTAATTATTTTTATTTACATTTTCGAGATTATTTGTTTAATATTGCTTGGCCCTAATCTTCTTCCGTATTGATGAGCACAAGAGACTTCATTTAAAAAATAATATAACATAATTATGCCAAACTTTTGACCAGTAGTGCACGTATGTTTCTCAGGAACGCAAGGGCAGAAGTGTCCAGCAGCATCCATGTGTCTCTGAGTGGCGCTCTGTTTCTCCTCAACATCAGCTTCATGCTCAGCGAATGGACTGCCACACTGGGAAAGGAAAAATTCTGTGTGTTTATCGCTGTGATGATACACTACAGCCTGCTGTCTTGTTTCACATGGATGGCTGTTGAAGCCTTGCACCTCTACCTTCTTCTCATCAGAGTGTTCAACATTTACATCAAAAACTACATGGCCAAGTTGTCCATGATTGGATGGGGTGAGTAAGACAAAATACAATAACACAGCAGCCAAAGTCTCATAGGACATCAGTAACAGAGAATTGTATTACATAATAATAAACATTAACATATTAATTGGATGAAAGATTCATAGTTTTGCTTTTGGAATAAGTTATAAAAGCGAATTCGAAAATTATTAAATTGTAATATGTACTGCAGTACATTTTTATATAACTGTAAAGTTGTGTTAAATGTTGTGTAGCAATAACCAAATGACACCCAACTTCACCTCTCTGGTCAGACTGATCTCATGAAGTAGCGTGTGTATGACACGCCAATTCGTATTTCCATTTTTGGCGTGCCATCAAGACGCATAATCGCTTTTCAGCGTGTTTATGAACGCCGTTGACTTAACGTTATATAAATATATGACTTACCTCAACCCCGTCCCTAAACCTAACCGTCACTGGGGTTAATGGCATTTATGACTGGAGATTTGACTGCGTGTTCGGACACGCGGAATGACGCGGACGTTAATGGCGTAGACATATATGCATACACGCGGATAGCACAAAATGCGTGGAGATAACACGCCACCTGACTCGAAAGTGGCGTATATGTTTACGCAAAAGTCATGATGTCATGTTGCTCTGGTTGTAATAGGTAGAGCTTGACCTAGTTATGTTTAGGGTTAGGGTGTGGCTTGACCTTCAAGCTCCACCCATTTCATCTAGAGAGGAGGAGCTGGATGTCAAGCTCCACCCACTGGCTCTGTAGTGAGCAACTTCTCAAAAAGTGAGATTTTGTTCGGGTGCAGAACCAAACTTTTCCACTAGATGACCTCCAGTCTCCATTGGTGGTCCATATAAGGACAAACCTATTTTCCTATGATTCGAGACGTTCTTTGGTACACATATTCCTTTATGTAGCGTTTCTTTTTACAATTTTTAGAGACAAAATTAAAATAGATGTTATCTTTTGAGCTGAGGTTTACACTTTGCATGATTTTTACATGTGCATCATTATTTTATAATAATGTTTTGAACTCTGTACTCGTCACAAATGTCTGTCTAATGAAATTCACCAAATTTGAAAAATGCACGCTTTCCAATGGCATACAGTTTGTTACGGTTAGTAAGGTTTATGACCATTTACAGGTTAAGTAGTTCAGCACAAAAAAAACATATGATGTTAAGCTGTGTATTAAGATCTAGGATCAGTTAGTCAAGGTTCAGACATTACTTTTCGAAATTAAATTAGGCCAATCTACATTTTTATGTAACTGATTTCAATATTAAAGAAAAAAAAATGTATGTAACTTGTAAGACTACTTTTAGCAGTTTATGCTACCAGTCCCAGGACAATAATAGAAGAAACATAAAAAATAATAATGATAATGAAGTGTGGCTCATCCTGCAATCTTTTCCTCTTTACAGGCATCCCTGCAGTTGTTGTTGGAAGTTTGCTTACAATTCAATTCACTCATCCTCTTTATGGCACCACAAATGTGACATTATCAAATTCAAATGCAACAAATGCAGTGTAAGTCATCGGTTAATAACTTATTTTTTTTCATTTTTAGTTTGTTTTGGTTCTTTTGTTGTTGTTGTTGTTGCTCTTTTTTAACTTTAGCATTGTTTATTGTATGCTGTACAGTTGCTGGATCAAAGACCCTATCGTCCTGTATGGCGTGAACCTTTCCTACTTCACCGTCATATTCATTTTCAACTTGTTAGTTCTTCTCAAAGTGTCCAGACAGATCTTTAAGCTAAAGCAAGTGGAGAAAAACAATCATAAAATACCAGTGAAGGACGCGGGAACAGTGCTGGGCCTCATGTGTCTGCTGGGAACAACATGGGGTTTGGTGTTTTTTGGCTTTGGATATACCAACTACGTTGTACTCTACCTGTTCTGCATTTCAAATACAACGCAAGGTAGGTTTACTCTTAAAGGGACAGTTCACCCCAAAATGAAAATTCTGTCAGTAATTACTACAACATGCCCTCATGTTGTTCCAACTCCGTAAGACTTTCGTTCCTCATCGATGTCTTTAAAGGGATGCTCCACTTTTTTTGGAAATAGGCTTATTTTACCACTCCCCCAGAATTAAACAGTTGGGTTTTACCGTTTTCAAATGTATTCAGCTGATTTTCTGATATTTAGAACGAAAAATATCAGTAAACAGACAGTTTCTGGTCTCATTGACTTCCATAGTAGGAAAAATATATATACGGTCATTGTTACTGATATTCTTCTAAATATCAGAAAATCGGCTGAATGGATTCGAAAATGGTAAAACTCAACTTTTTAACTCTGGGGGAGTTGTAAAATGAGCCTATTCCCCAAAAAAGTGGAGTATCCCTTTAACTTTTCTCGGCTGGCAAGTTTCGATCCCTTAAAGGGAAAGTTCACTTTGAAATTAATTTTTGGTATGTTTTAGCACCTCAAGGGCATCCAAGATGTAGGTGTCTTTGTTTCTACAATAGTTTCAATTTTGATATTTTTAGGTCAAACCGTAAGTGTTAGTGACTCGTAAATGTAAGTACACATTGATGGCCTATGACACGAAACGAGCGGTTTGTGTGAGAAAACGGACAGTATTTTTATCGTTTTTACCTCTTGTAACCACCAAGTGATCTGAAGGCTCGGTCTGCACAAGCGCCGGAAGAGGTAAAAACGATATAAATACTGTTCGTTTTCTCACACAAACCGCTCGTTTCGTGTCTTAGGCCATCAGTGTGTACTTACATTTATGAGTCATTAAATCATGTTTAATTTGGACTTCTCTGTACATGCTCTTTGAGGTGGTGACCATAGACCTCCATTATATGACTGACAGACAAGAATGGTTTGACCTAAGAATATCAAAATTGAAACTACTGCGGAAACAAAGACACCTACATCTTGGATGTCCTTGAGGTAAGATAAAACATACCAAAAATGTATTTCAAAGTGAACTATCACTTTAATAAGCCTGTGAATGAGTGATCCAGCTCTCAGATTTAATCAAAAATATCTCAATTTGTGTCCCGAAAATGAACGAAAGTCTTACGGGGTTGGAACAACATCATTCAGGAGAGTCATTACTGACAGAATTTTCATTTTGGGGTGAACTAACCCTTTAATCATAAGCTTTGGCTTTCCATCCGCCTATTTTTTTTGGATAGAAAGACCAAGATGTGCATAAATTCTAAAAATGTGCATTAAAAAAAACATATAAATGTGCATAAAAAACATATGCACTCAGTTGCGGCAGAAAATGTTTTTATCCAAAAAGAAGACATGCGCATAAGTATATGGATACACATTTACTAAAGAAATCCAACCCGATCTCACCGGAATTCGTACGAATTTTACGAGGTGGCTAATTTGTAACAATTTGTACGACCTCACTCGTACGAATTAGTACGATTTAGCTAATTTGTACATATTTTACGAATTAGCCAATTCGTATGAATTCGTACGAATGACCTACCCCTGACCCCGCCCCTAAACATAACCGTCACGTGGGTTTAGACAAATTGTACAAATTTGTACGAGTGAGGTCGTATGAATTAGTACGAATTAGCCACTTTTGAATCATTCGTACGAATTCGTACGAATTGGTCGTGAGATAGGGTAGAAGAAATCCCTTGATGTGCAACATAATAACATAGTAACATAATAATGTGACTTTGCCTCAACAGAGGATGTGATTGGATAACTGGACTAACCAGTGGACAAATCGTATCGCGTTTGTTGCGCTCTGAGGCGCAAGTCATTTACATATCCGAAAAAAGAGCCACAGTGGCTTCCCGAAAAACAGCAACTTCCATTTTTATGACAGATATTTTGCGCCAGTTTCCTTAGGAAGTGACGATTTTGTTCTCTTGAACACATGGAATGGAAACGGGGCTCATATTCACAAATATTTGATGTGATTTTTCAATTTTGTGCGCAAGTTTGGATGGAAATATAGCTATAGAACCATAGAGGAGGTAAAAAGAGATGTCTTATTGTTGTACAAATGCAGTACATTTGCTATAACTTTATTTTTTATTTATTTTTTGGCAGGGGCTTCTATCTTTCTGTGGATGTGCCTGACAATGACAAGACGAGACAAACAGAAAGCAGCTCTTACCAAGTCTTTATCCACTTTGGACACCATTGAGAAACAGAAGGAATAGCCCATGCCTAACATTTACCACATTGCCTTCCTACAACCAAAATGCATCATCTCAATAAGTTTTTTGAAACCTTTTTTTAAAAGTTATCTCTCTTTTTTATACATTTGGTGCCACTAGAGGCACACAATCCTACACTCAGTGAACTATTTCTATGGGATAACCATTTCTAGTGGTGTTTGAAACCATAGTGGACATTATCGAGTACGCTCATTTAATCCAATAATGCACCACATATATACACTCAATGGCTAGAATACCCATAATGTGCTGTGAAGGCCCTAATATACTTCAAGTGAAATCAAATAATGTGTATAATTGTGTAATAAGTGGGTGTGGCTCTGAGCCTTCTCATCCATTCACTCACTTGGTCCATCTAGGCAAAGAAGACAACACTAGTTGTAGGTAATAGGTAATTCAACTGATTATAATTGAAATTCTGATTCTAGAAATAAAGATAATATTCGATTAAATTTGCTCAGCTCAGCCATTTCGAACTTCTTTTCACTCCCTTTTTAAAAAAATAGACAATAGTGTTTTGTTTACATCACAGTTCGCCAGAGCCGTTGAGATCGGTAAAGCTGCAGTTTATTCCTAATATCTAACAGTTTATAGTGTAGGGGTTATAATGTAGGGGACGGGACGCTTTGGATTCTAGAGGATGTGAGTGATGTCATCTAAATCATTGATCCATATTGGCTGAAGTGAGAGACTGTGGGCGGGGCCTATAGTGCAATGATGTTTAACTATTCGTCGATGTCTTACTCCGGAGGCAGTCATTTTCAAATCTATTTGCCCATGTGACGTCACAGATCCACAATATCAAAATAAGCTGTTTTTGAAGCTGGATTAAAAAAATGCTTAGTTTATAATGACGTTTTAAGCTCTGAAAATGGTACAAAGACCTCTTATATGTCAAAAGATCACGGCAAATATGATTTCTCTTGTCATCATCACCCCTTGAATTGTTTTCTTTATCTCTTTATTTTACCATGTGAACCTTTTATAGTTATAGTTTTAGTTTAAATTAGTTATATAGAGTATTTTATCATATTGATATTGTCAATATTGTTTGTACAATTGTATAGTGTGGATGAGAGTATAGGAGGCGAATCAGATTAAAAAGGACACTTTTTCCCTGTCATCTCAATAACAAAAAGTGTCCCAAATCAACTTGAATTTATATGTATAAGAATAAAGAAATCGAACTATGGGTTGGGAACTATGCTTTTTATAACAGCAAACAAGAAATTACTTTTTGAACTTCTTGAAGAAATTAATCTTGTACTTTAGAGAAGTTTCGGTATTTACTTTATGGATGTGGGTGAGTGTTTCCTTTGCACTGATCATAGTAAATTAAGCTAATTTATTTTTCCTATACTGTAATTTATTGCAACTGCATATTTCATTGATTTGTAATAATAATAATACAAATGTAAATGCTCTGTTTTACAATCACATAATAAAACTACAAGTCTAAAAAAGTTCATCTGTAGGATTATTGAGTCCATTACCAATGCAAAAATACTGACTGTACATTTTAACTACAATGCATACAATTAACTACACCATTGTGTTCATATCCCAAATTTTGTTATGTTGCAGCCCTATATGCTAAAATAATTTTAGTATTTTTTTGTTTTAATACAATCCATACCATATTATGGGGAATGGAGAGTAGATTAATGTTGAGAAAACAAATTAAAGCAGTATAGCAACTGTACAGTACATGATGTTAGCCAGTAAAAGGCTTGATTTCCAGACATTTGCATTTCAGGAAAAACAAACAGCCCCATCATAAATTTAAATGCCAAAACACCAACATGACAAAGAGGGTGTTCTATTTCCTCATTAAAGATGTTACAATGCAAATATTATTTTTCTGTAATTATGGTGCAGATCATCATATCATGACTTGGCTCAGTAGTAAGTAGACGGTGCAACCATTTTTAGTGCAGTTTAGTTGCAGAGTACACTAGCTGACATATCATCCATTTTCATCAGCCAAATCACCCAAGTACAATCAGCGAACTTAATTTGAGAATAGACCTATGCCTTACCAAAGTTCAACGCAAAACGATCACAATGCAAAATTGAGCGAATTATTGACGCAAAGACAAAAAAAGACAATTCCCACTCAGTTTGAAATAAAATTGAAAAAGATTACTAGGAATTCAAGAATATTTTCAAAAAAAGATAACTACGAGCCGAAAAGTGCACAAAAATACAGTGCATGTTAACACAAAAAAGACAGGAAACGTTTTCTTAAAGGGACAGTTCACACAAAAATACAATGAAAAAGCTCTTTTAGTTAAAAGGTTTAAAATATTCAGATATTTCATTTGACCTATAAGTTTCGTTTCAATAGGCATTTATTTATTTATTCATTTATTTATTTGGAGCATCAGCATTTCAAAGCCTTTTACTTGCACTAATGGACTCACAGAGATTATTTTCTAAAAGTATTTTTTTTTTTAATATTTATATTTTTACTTTATTTTATTAAGTTTATTTAGGTTTTTTGAGAACAAAATACATCTGGGTTGAGCCATGAGGGTGAGTAAATAATTCGAGTTTTTTATATTATGTGTGTACTATCCCTTTAAGGACTATATTCAGTGGTCCTAACCCATATAGGTTTGGAGAGCGAGTACAGAAGCTGTTTTTATAACCTATGAAACCATATGAGACAATAGGCAAAGTCATTCAAATGTAGCCGTTAATAATTTGTATTGGGTAATTTTAATGTTTGTTAGTTCCTGGACTTACATTTGACTTACATGGTTTATTCAAATCATTTGTTTATGGAATTTATCTGCCTTAGGTGTTAAATGCTTTTTCAACTGGTCATCGTAACTATTATTGTAAGATTTCAGTTCAGTGGCCAAAATGCCAATGAATGATTATTGAGCATGGGAATATTGACAATATAATAGAGGAGGATCAAAATGCTTGATCATAATGCTCTGTTACACATACTTCAATGCACGCATTGTTAATAATGATTGCATTGTATTTCTAACTTTCTCTCCCACAAAACATATTGCATAAACCCAATGTTGGTTTGTGTTATTACATTAAATGCAATATTATTAAATGCTCTTTTTTTTCTCGTTCTACCGAAAATGTGCAGGGAGCTCACTGTTGTTATGGTAACAAGCTACACTTTTACATGCATTTGATTGACAGATAAATCATCCGATCTTATTCCACTGTTGTTGCTGATGTTGAGGTTATTACAGCTTTGTACAAAGTTAGCTTCTTACATTTAGTTTAACTGCATTGTTAAAGAGGGAAAGCTAACTCATTAATCTATTATTAAGCTTTGTATTAGTAGAAAACCTGTAGTATTTTCAAATTACCATGCTTTTCACCCTCATATACCCCGGAGACGAGAGATTTACCGGTATGTATTTTTTTTCTGGAAAAAACCCTTTGATGATGCAAAAATTGCCCTTTTGCCATCGTAGGATTTCTTGTCCAGAGGCTAAAGACTACAGTCAGTAATCGGGTCTGTCCCGCATGTTCTCAACCCGCCCATAGAGGCTAGATCTCACTCACAGAATGAACACATAGTGTCGGCCATCTTTTTTTGGAAGCTAAGCTAGCAGGCTCTTGTTCTGTGGAGAAAGCTGAGTAGTAGGGGTTACCATCCTCTTTTTCCCGTACATGTCCGGCCGTCGATGTCCGGGATACAGCTTTTGCGTTCTGCAGTCGCCATTCATTGTTTACATGCACAGCTTTTGTTTCAATCTAACTGAATTCATTCCATTGGTGAATCTGAATGTAGTGTTTACATGAACGCTAAACAAGTGATTGGTTGATGTGCGTTTTAATATTGCTAAGAAAATTCCCGCTCCTCCGTGAGAAATACGAGACCGGTGCGTCTCACAGGTGTCGCTCATCGGTAATCACGCCACCGGCCTCGCGCCGTTCTCCCGCGGCCCTCACTCGTCCCGCTCGCCACAGTAAACATGACTCGCGCCGTTCTCCCGCGGCCCTCACTCGTCCCGCTCGCCACAGTAAACATGATGAACGGCGACTGTAGAACTCAAAAGCCGAATCTCGGACATTTTGGGCGATCTCGAAACACATTTTCGGGCAGACTCATCACAGAGACTCACTAGTAGCCTAGACTTGTTGTTTAACTACTGCACTCTGTTACCGGTAGGCGTGGCCTCCTAGGGCAGCGAAACAAGTGCATTCTGGGAGTTGTTGTCTTTCATCCACATAAGCCAAAAATACATTTTCTGGCTTTTCTCAGTCTAGAAAGCTCCAAACTCAAAAATAATTTCACATTTCGTCTACATAAATGACCCATTTTTAAAGACAAATTCATCTTTCCAGAGGTCAGTGATTCACTGTCAAAGCTTCAACAAAGCACAGAAATCGTTGCGAGCTATGCGGCTCTTTCTACCTAAACGCTCCAGCTCAGCCTCAGCCGCCCCAATAGAACGCCGCCTCCTCAGCTATAGATAAGCCAGCACCTCGGGTCTCTCAGCCCCATCCTGCGGCTGACATCTTTTGTTGCTCACGGACAACTAGGTACCATCCGCAACCGCAGGGCCCTCAACCCAGGCTTGTTTTGGAGGGAAGAGAGGGTCTGAGTCTCGCCACGGCCGGACCACCCTCGAAAAGCTCTCAGCTCCCTGTTGTACTCCACGCGCCCCTACAAACAAATGCTGTTTTTACAGCCACCCAAATAAACACAAAAAGAGTATGTTTCAAACACACAACACTCAGGTAACCGGTCCCCCTTCGCTAGGTGGCCCACCCCCAGTTGTCACTCTATCTCTGTATAGTCGGACTGAGGCCTGTCTAGCCAACCCAGCAGAGTGTATGTGCACAAAACACAATACTATGGTAATAGGTCCCCCTATGCTAGGCGGTCCACCCCCAATTTTCAGTCAACGCCTAGCCACACAGGCCAGGGCCGAGGCCTGGCAAGCCATCCCCGAAGTGCCAAACTGGGTAGTTGACACTATAAAGCAAGTAACTCGCTCCAATTCGTTCACAGACCCCCACGCTTCCAGGTGGTCGTCGAGATTTCAGTGAGAAGCAGCGTGGCTCACGTCCTTCACGCCGAAATGCAAAATCTGCTGCAAAAGGGGCGATAGAGAAAGTTTCCACCGTGCTGAGCCAATCAGGGTTTTACTGTGCTACTTCCTTGTACCAAAGAAGAATGGCGGCACCAGACGCATTTTAGATCTGAGACATCTGAACAGAGACCTCATGAGTTGGCTATTCAGAATGCTAACTACCAAACAAATCCTCACGCAAGTTCACCCAGGAGATTGGTTTTCCATGGTGGATCTGAAAGATGCCTATTTTCATATTCAGACAATGCCCCATCACAGGCCATTCTTGAGATTCACCTTCGAGGGGGAAGGCTTATCAATACACAGTCCTACCGTTCGGTCTGTCTCTAGCACCCCGTACATTCATGAAGTGCATAGTGCACTCTCTCCCGAGACAACGGGGAGTGCGCATGCTTAGCTATCTCAACAACAGGCTCATCATGGCTAGGTCGAAGGAATGCCTCGGGCTCAGGATTAATTTTCCCAAGAGCAGACTGTCATCCAGCCAAAGCGTAATGTTTCTAGGCACAGTTGTTGACTCGACACGGATGAGAGCCCGGCTCATGCCAGAATGCACTCTCTCTATCCAACGGCTAGTAGCCTCCTTCAGGGCAGGTGCGTGCCGTGCACACACCTCAAGAAGTTTCAGAGGCTCTTGGGCCTAATGGCCGTGGAATCGTCAGTACTCCTTACTGGGATTTGTGCATATGGGCCCCCTACAGCACTGGCTCAAACGCTGTGTCCCAGCCCAAGCGTGACCCTCAGGACGCCTGCAAATCATGGTGAACTAGGGCTGCAGAAGAGCCCTGACTCCCTGGAAAGCTGCGGACTGGTACCAGTCAGGGTTGACCATGGGTGTGGCCTCCAGGAGGAAGGCAATTTTCTCTCTGACTCGCCCCAACTCGTAAAAATCTGGGCTTAGGAAAGAAAATCCAGAGATTCCCACTCGTATTTGTGACATACTGACATTGTGGTGGGGTTCATGTGCCTTCAACCGTCAAGATCATAACGAGATGACTTGGACGCACCACTAACCCCGGGTAATTGTTGTTCTAAACTCCACTATTAAGCCCAGGTACAGGGACAGTTCTCCCTTTCCTGGGTTATGAAACCCTGCTCTGGAACAGGGTTAGCACCATTTTTGCAGTCCCTAACATGTACAGTGTGAATTAAAAAAATGGTTGTACTATACAGTGTTACTATACCTCTGGTTTTGATTATCTTGAGTGTGAAAAGCCCTTTATCATGGCAGAACTAGTAGCCTATCTATGAGGTCTCAGACAGCACACACTGGCTGCCCACAGTCTGTGCACTAAATATCGAATGCTCCATTTTCGATCAAGAACAAATTTCCTCCAATTGCACATATGAACTAGTCTGAGCGTCTTCCTGTCTAAGTGGGTGTTTCCTAGCCAAAATAAGCTACAGTTCCCACGCAGCTCTAGTCTAGTCAACAGAGAGCAAAGAGACTACTGAAAAATCCCCACCAGTAATGCACAAACTAGAACCCGGTCTGGTGAAAACACAAACAAACATGAAAGACTAGCGAAAGCAGAGGAAAGTCCCATGTGCTGCACGGTGTTTTTATTTTTAATAAGTCTGTAACATCATCACAATATTTATTTCCAAATGTAGGTGCATTGGTTTTTGGTCAAGATCTTGTATTGTCAAAGCGAGAGTCCATCACTCTGTAAAGTCTCATCCAACACAATCCCAAAGACTTTCAATGACTTTAAGCTCTGGACTCAGAGGAGACAGTTGCGTGTGAAAATGATTCTTCATTCTTCCTCATAACCATTCTTCCACAGTTTGAGCCTGATGAATCTTGACATTGTCATCCCTAAATATAGCCATGATGCGTCTTCATACACGGATGTTTAAGAAATGAAAAGCACTCTATCAATTAGGGTTAGAAGAACTGTTGCCAAACCAGCGCAGTCTCATCCCAAGACGCCATATAACTGACGTTTTGGGACGTCTTTTGACCATACGTCAATCTCCACCTTTTTAGGGCCCCCTTTTAACGTCGGTAGATGAGGTTATCGGATCCTAACTCTACCCCAGACCTAAACCTACCCCTAAATAGGGCTGTCGCGGTTATGGAATTTCCCTTGCGGTAATGTTGAGTGGCTCAATAGCGCGATATGCGGTATTACCGCCATTTATTTATTTATTTAATTAATTTATATGTTTTTGTTGCTATACAAATAATGTTTACGATGTGGACAAAAACGAGGACATTTTCAGTAACCAATGTAACCGAAACTAAACAGCGTCTACAGTATATGCGCATTGAAAGACTTTTACTCAGCGCGCACATTGTTATGACAACGGACTTTGAGCGAGTCATTGAACCGTTCATTCAACGAACACGTTTAAAAAAGCTGATTCAACAAGATGTTAATTATTTTTAACTTTGAGATTCAACTTTTCAAGGCTCAGCTGAGCATCAATGCGTCGCATAAGCAACGCTGAAGCTGATGCTTCACTTATTAGAGACCCATTGATTCAATGCGTGACTCGCTGATTTTATTTCGGCTTCCTTGTGTTGTGGGATGCTGACCAGCGCTGCTGCTGACGCGCATTTATGGGAAAATACCCGTGAAGAGAACAATAAAATGATGATGCGACAAATTTTTCGCTTCCCTTTGACACGACAGGCGCAGGTAATTGCACGCGCTCTGCCGATCTCTCTCATTCACTGTCTGTGTGAAGCCTGTAGGCTACACATCACCATGATAAACAGTCTTGTTATCGTTATGAACTTGTTTAACATTCAATACACATGCATTAAGTTCAAAACAAGAAGGGTATAGCCTTATAAAAAAAAAACGTGAATATCGCGGTTGCTGCGGTTACGTGCTATCCTCTGCGGTTGACTTGTCAGAAGCGCGGTACTACAATATTGCGGTTACCGCGACAGCCCTACCCCTAAACCTACCCCGTCACCTAACTGACGTTAAAGGTAAAGCGTCGGTTGTATGACGGGCCGGGATCGCCATCTACCGACGTTTAAGGGGGCCCTAAAAAGGCGGATATTGACGTATGGTCAAAAGACGTCAGTTATATGACGACTTGGGATGAGACTGTGTTGGCCAAACATATAACATGCTAGATAACATAATAATCACTGCAATAATGATCCAATCATAGACTCTTTGGCCAATTTAAATCCAAACCGAGACCTGTTTTGGCTAGCCACTGTATATCCGAGTGAAATGGCTTCTCAAACAAGAAAAAGAAATGAAGTTCTCTACTTGATTTTGTCTTTGGGAACCGATTTGGTTGGATGGAAGTGGTTTGCTATTGGTTGATCTCATGTGAGTGACAGGTTGCCCCGTCCCCACATAAGTAAACACATCATCAGACAAGAGATGTCTCTGCAAGAGGAGAAGTTATTTTCATAAAACATTATGAGTATGAACTTAATGGATAAACCATTTATAATGAATGCTGAAATGTTCCACAATTTTCTTTCATGATGACGTTAACAGGGGCTATTGTCACTGATGATGATAAGCTCAGAGAGTCTGTTATACTGTCTAATACACAAACATCATATTGTGTTGATGATCGTCATAAATAAAAAAGTCATGACAAGGCTTGTCATTGTCCTCTGTTTCCTGGAGAGCTCATTGGATGTGTCCGAAGCCACAAAATTTGAGTGTGGCTGATGATCAACTCAGTCTGTGAATTCTGATCCGACCATACAGAGCTGTCACCACTTCAACCAGCTAAGAAAACTCAAAGGTATGTAAATTAAACGCTTTTAGGCTCGCATTTTTATAATTAAGTCATTTTAAGGGATGTAAATAGATATAAAAAGATATGTATGTTGTATGATATGCATTTCCAAGTCTGTATTCTGACCTCCCAAAAAAAAATGATGTCCCACAGAGCTGAAGATATGACACTCCTTTTACTTCTGATCATGATCTATGGCGTGGATGCTGAGTCTGAATTTACTTATGAAAACGGTAACTACTGAAAAACACTTACATTCTTGTAATAATTCATTTGAAATATATTAAATTGATTTCTATTGCCAGTTTATTTAAAATTTATTGCTAAAGCACAAAGAGGTTATACATGGTGGAATCCCTCTTCTTGAGATGAGAAATACTTTCTTTGTTAAAATTACTTGTTTTTAAAATGATTGATTTGGATTATTTTTAAATTCCAATAATCAAATAAGAAATACTGAAAATATTTGCATAAGATTTCCATCCTCATAAAGTAAACATTTATTGTAACAAATATTCTGTGGTGAAGTAAATACTACGGGAAAAAAAAGTAATTTCTACCTGATAAAAAATAAATTTAAAAAAAGCTTGTAAAGCATATAGGCTAAATATCATGGCCATCAAATATTTTTAGATTTTATTTAAAAAGTTATAGTAGATTTTAATGAATCCCATATGGGTAATTGACTAAACAAATTTGCAAAGCATTTTTAATGAATTATTTTATGTGACTTTATTTTCAATTTCTGTACAGACCTTGCCTTTAACAGTTTATTGTAGAGTTTAACAAAATTCAAACATTAATACAAAATATAAGAGCAAAAATGTAACCCGAAAATTTAATTTATTGGCCATTGGAAATACTAATATTTGCATAAAAATTACAACCTATAAAACGTAATGATTCGCCCTATCCTGGCATGTATGAGCGATACTCTTGTCTAACAAAAATGGTTGAGTTTAAATCTAATTTATTATAGTTAACACTTCTTAAATTGTATGTCAACATGATCTTATTGTTTGCTTGTTTATTGCATAATGATTCAGCTTTGCATCACATGAATGAATTACATTTTAAAATATATTCACCTAGAATTTTTTAAAACCGTTATTTTAAATTATATATTAATATATTACTGTTTTACTGTATTTATGCTCCAATAAACACAGCCTTGGTGAGCATAAGAGACTTCTTTCAAAAACATTTTAAATTCATACTAACCCCAAACTTTTCAATTACAATAATTTACTGTAATTTTAGAATCGAGAATTGAAAGTTGAACAAGCTATTTGAAATCAACATACAAAACTGAGATGTCACTGAGATGATTCAGTCTTCCCTACAATAGAAATTAGAGGCTAACATTTCACTGAGTCATTTGTATTATCTCTTTAGGAAATATGACACTGGAAAATGGCACACGGACATTGGAGATGAGAATCTCATTGGCATCTGGACACAACATTACTGTTCGTGACAGTGCAAAAGAAACACGTTGTAACTCTGTAATCAATTCATGTTATATTGAGTGCTCCTTTTACGATTTCTTTGAAGACCAAAACTTTACCGAAACGAAAAAATATGACATATGTGCAAAGAAAAATAATAATAGCACTAGAGTTGAAATCAGCATAAGTAAGTAAGACTTCTTTTCTTCCATTGCTTTTAACCAATAACACAAAAGCATTATGATATATGTGCATTGATAACATGATGTTACTGTTTACTCAAGACATTATTCCTTCTGTCTATTACAGAAAATAGTACATCACAGTGTAACAAATACGCTGTTTCACTGTGTACTGTGGTGGATTGCTTGCCTGACGAAATAGGAGAGCTCTTGGGCGAGAAAGATAAACAAATGAAAATCCCAAAAGACCTGAGAAACCTTCTCAGTGTGAAAAAAATGTGCCGAGATGTGATCTTTAATGAAACTATGGTGAATACCTACAATAGGTAAATAAAACCTTATTAAGATTTTAATATCCTTTATTACGATCCTTAAGTTTGTTGTGTTTCCAACCCCTGTTCCTTGAGGCCACACAACAGTACAGATTTGGGATGTCTGTCCCCGATATACTTCAAATGAACTTCGGCCTGATTGTGTTTGAAATTACATCACACTAGTTATTTGATTTCACTTGGATTTAGTTTCGAACAAACTTTCTAGAAAAGTTCGCTCCGGCTGGTAAACACCTTCGCACTGCCATCGCAACTTTTATTTTTGATGCGATTAATCGCGATTAATCGTTTCACAGCCCTATGTATGCGATGCATTATATTTAATAAAAGTGGCACTATAGAGTTTTACATTGTTACAAACAAATGTTAAGATTTTATTTTTATAGTTACATGGTAGATGTATTCAACATATTTTCATGCAACTAACCCTAATTTTAACCCTACTCTGTAGTGCACGCTGATATCACAGAGCCGGTGCAAACATGCACATCACTATGATCAGATGCTTTCTTAACTGCTGTTTTTGGTGTGTTTATTTTGTTATTGAGAGGAAAACGCATGAAACTGCGGAAAAGGTATTTTCAAACTTCTTTTTAAACCTACGCGAAGAACAGAAAAAGTACTTCACATTGAGTACACCTTTATCTGACACTCCAAAATTGAGTCTTTATCGGAAATTCAAAATGTGTGTTGTGGGGTTGGAAACACTGTTTTGGACCTGGTTTTATGTTTATCAAACATTTGTGCAGACTGGAGAAAAAAGCCATACATGGTGTTATAAATATGACTGTTCCTGAGCAATCCAAGACGTACAGTCATGAGGATCTTTCCATGACTGTGGTTAAGATGAATTTGAGCATGAAGGAAGAGTATTTACAAATCCCTGCTCCACGTGTAAGTATACCATGCCCCAGAAACGCCAAAGGTCCTTGCTGATATAATTATATAAAGTTGCTAAACTGCTGTAAGAGATTTATAGCACCTCTTCATTTTTGTCCATGAGGATTTTTTATTTTTTAAATGCATATAAAAATCGCACAAAAAATATGAATGTACTCAGCAAGTCTTGTATGACCAAAAATAATAGCTGCAGTGACAGTTAGCATCTCAGTGGTTCCCTCGACAAAACCCAATAGGATTTTCCCATAGGCTTTTTAGATTATTGCTAAAACAAGCTCTGTGATTAACAAAAGATTATGATACACGTTTTGTCCATCATGAATACAACTTTGACGAACTACACACAACGGTCATGGTCACATGACTTCATCGTCACCATCACTAAGCTTCCAACAACTCTTTCAGTTTTTATCTAAAAAATAAAAATCCCATAAACGTTGATTTAAGTATACAAGCACGATTATAAGCATAATGATGCTGTAAAGGTGGACTGATCTTACCGTTTTTCTGCGTGGTGACATTTAATCTCCTCGACAACACATTTAGCCACTTAGCATTAGCAAGCGCCTTTTTTAAGACACGCAACAGCTTCAAAAAAATCATAATAGGTCGCCTTACTGATGTATTTTATATCGTGGATAAAATCTGAGAGGTTCTGAGCTAACTGATGTCATACCTGCACCACTCTTGTGTTTTTAATGAAATTTATTTCATGCTCGCTTCACAGCACCACCCAGTGCTTTTAGTTATAACTGTGTTTAGTTTGTGTGCAAAGGATTTATCAATCCACTGCATCTACGGCCCGCAAAGCAACATGTAGCGAAATCTGAGTAGTAATTTTATTTTAAATTCAATATTGCAGATTGAATATCCGACATGTCTTGCATGACATACTGTGAAACCCTAAAATACATTTTCTGTCATTTCTAAACCATCTAGAAAATGTATAAACTATATACTTAAGAATCTAATTCTTTAATTTGGATAATAATAATAATAATTATTATTATTAAAAAGACCTGATGTCTTTTTCTTTTTAAGGTATTAGATAATAATGAAGTGGCTGAGATTTGGATCCCGGTGAAGCCTTTCCAAAACCAATTGGAAAACAAAATTGGTGTAGTGACCTACGATGCTGATGAGCACCTTAAGGTTCAAATAAAACCCCCTTTTAATGTTCTTTCATGCGATAAGAACACTGTTGCATGTCACACAGATTCTGAAGTTTACAGTAAGCTTTAAGTTATAAATCAAACTATTGTCTTTTTTTACAGCTTAACCTGAAAAAAACAGATTTTATCTCGAAAATCATACGGGTTGAATTCCCTGGACCTGACACTAACAAATTGACTGATCAACTTAAAATTCAGTTTAGAATGAATACCAAAGACCTACCTGTAAGTGTTGCAATTTTTAACATTCTCAAATTGCCTCAAAATGTCCTAATTATGATTTGTTCCTGTTTTATATTTATATTTAAAGAAAGACAACCTGAGCTGTCGGTTCTATGATGAAAAAGGTACAGTAATGCATAGATCTATTAAAAAGCATGGATCTATTATACTGAGGCACATCAGGGGCCTGTTTCAGAAAGGAGGTTAAGTGAAAACTCTGAGTATGTTAACCCTGAAATGAGGGAAACTCTGGGTTTTCCGTTTCAGAAAGGGGGGTATATCAAACCCGAGAAAGCAGAGTAAGTCAAGCCCGTTTCTGAAAGAGAGGTAACTTATACTCAGAGTCAGTTACCATGGTAACTTACTCTGTGAAGCTAACCTGGTCGGGAGCAGGTTTTCTTCAGTAAACCCAGAGTTTCTTGTGGTCTCCTCCCCTTTTTTAAAGAGGAAGTGCTGTTTAAACACCAACAATAATACTAAAATGTATTTACACATTCTTTAAGGAATATATATATTGTTTGTCCATGGTTTAATTGACTAAATCTGTTTTGCAGCACTTTGCCAAAAAATAAAAGGATTAAAACATTTGCTAAACTTTTATTTGATTACCACTGTTTTGGATAATATATTTCTATTAAATCATTGAAAAAATTGTAATAAAATTTAATAAGTTATTAATGATAAAAAATAAGATGTCAATCATAATCAATTATTGAAGTTATTATGTTTTATTGAACAAATGTTTAATTTATTTAACTGTCATTTTAACTGATGAAAATAATAACCGTAATTTAATAATGCAGTTTATATATTTAACAATTGTTTAATACCATAAACCGTGATATTTTCTGAGATGGTTCTTATACTGTGAAACTCTCATACGTTACAACCCCACATGGGGGAGTCCCCCACCCCACCCCCGCTGTTAAACAAGTTACTCAGCAACTTTTACTCATGTTTTAAATTAACTACTTTTTACTTGAGTAGATTTTTTAGACTGGTATTTTTACTTTTACTTAAGTAAAAATGTATCAAAGTAATAGTAGACTACTTTAGGTTGAATAACATTCTTCCAGTTTCACCTCTGATATTATAACAGTTACTCTAAAATAGTTATGAATTAATAACAACAAATGACATCTTCAACGGTGTAGTTAGATTAATGTAATAATTACTATCTCTAGAAAGTATTGGTCTACATATTACTAAATCTATTAACCTCAACCACTTGATTAATACAAGGAGGAGAGACAAGAAACTGCACTTTTAATGCTTTCAAATTAACAATACAATTGCATGAATTATTCTTGAATTGATCAAAGTGTGTAGAGGGAGAAGGTTATATAAAAATATACCTTTTAAAAATGTATGCTAAATCCACTATTGTTTTATACTGAATAGGTCTATAGTTTATGCAGTAGCCTATTTAATGTAATTGCATCATATTTTATTTTTAAATTAAAGAAGAATTAAGAGTAATCCCTTTAATTAAATTACAATACTTAGATTACTTGGTAATTAATTATACCCAACACCTCTTTTTGTCTGGCGCTGTTGCCATGGTGACTCATAATATCTGCGCTCCATTGATAATGGCTTTTTATAGCTGTGGTGCACGCGCTTAACTCAGAGTCAGTCAACTCAGAGTTGATTAAACTAACTCATTTCAGCTGTTCTGTAACCGAAAACTCAGAGTTTCCCATCTCAGGGTAAGTCAACTCTGAGTTCAAGCTTTAACTCAGAGTTGGTTGAACCTCCTTATTGAAACGGGCCCCTGGTTTCATCCAACTGTTTACTTTCACTTGAGACACAACCATCTGTGTTTGCATGAATCCTCCAAATGATGGACATTTTGACATGATTGTGCATGTGTTTGACCATTCAAGTGACGAGAACTGAATTCCAGATTGCGCACTGCATTGAAGGAGTTCACCCAAAAATGAAAATTACCCCATGATTTACTCACCCTCAAGGGTATATATGACATACTTCTTTCAGACTAATACAAACTAAGTTAAATTTAAAAAAAATGTCCTGGCTCTTCAAAGGTTTTTAATGAGAGTGAATGGTTGTATTTGTTTTGAAGTCCATCAAAAAGCATCATAAAAGTAAATCCACACAGCTTTGGCGAGTTAAAGGCCTTCTGAAGTGAAGCGATGCGTTAGAGTAAGAATATTATCCATTTAAACCTTTATCGACTTAAATGGATGCGCTTTAATCGACTTCAAAACAGAAACGGACATTCCCTGCTATTATACACTCAAAAAAATGATATGTTGGCTTTAATTAACTTTTTTATGTCAACAGGTCCCACATAACTGGGTTACGTTAAACAAACATAATTTGTTCATGTAACTTCAACATTATTGAATTAAGTAACTTTAAGTGATGAAAAGAATATAACCATAAGGAAAACTTAACTCAGAAATTGGGTTCTAAATGAGTTAAGTGATTCAGGTCAAATGATCGTGAAATAATATTTATGTGAAAACATAACCAACACCATCAGATCACCTTTTCTATTTGTTCATCTGGCTGTTAAAACACATGTACAGCAGCTAAACAAAATCTAAAGTTAATTATATGTGGGTCAAGAGCCCAACTAAAGCAATAGTGACTTAAACATTCCGGTTTTCTCCTTCAGTGATTCTGCTTGTTACCATCAGGTGTCTTCAACAATGCTCAATCATCAACCAAGTATTCACTTAATTATCTCATTAACTTTAACACTGCTTCGGTGTTCATTTAACACTCTGCTCAGAGCTTAATTGGGTTGCTTAAAATGACCATGAAGTAGTTCTATGAAGTTGAAGTTACATGAACAAATTATGTTTTTTTAACGTAAACCAGTTATGTGGAACCTTTTGACATAAAAAAAGTAAATTTATGGAAACTGTTAACATAACAAAGTTAATTAAAGCCAGCATATCATTTTTTTGAGTGAAAAGCTTGGAAGAGCCAGGAGATTTTTTAGTGTGACTCCAATTGTATTCGTCTGAAAGAAAAATGTCAATAATCCCTACAGTAAAAATATTTTCAAGATTTGTTATCACAACATATTTTCTTTTGTCAAATCAACTTTATAATAATTTATTTAGTCGAGATAACTTATTAATTTGAGTTTCTGATGGTTGAATTAATCTCCTTCAATGTATTAACTCACTTTTTCCAGTTCAATCAACTTAAAAAAGGCAACCTAGGTTACTTACTTTTTTTAAGTTAAACCAACAATATTTTTTTACAGTGTAGTAATCACAACATTTTTTCTTTTGTCAAATAAACTTAAATAATTTAGTTCAGAAAACATAGTATTTTGAGTTTCCGGTGATTAAATTAATCTCCTTCAATGTATTAACTCACTTTTTCCAGTTCAATCAACTTAAAATTTTAAGGCAACCAGGTTACTTTCTTTTTTAAGTTAAACCAACAATATTTTTTTTACAGAAATGATAGACATTGTATACCCTGGTAACAATATCTATCATCATACCGCCAAGCCCTTGCTTCAATAAAAAAATGTGCTTATGCTCATCTATTACAACAACGCATTCTCACCCCAAGGCGTCACCTTTGACCATGCTTCAATATTTGACGTTTTAGGCGCCCTTTAGCGTCACTTACATGACGCGATCCTACGGCGTCATCTAACTGACGCTAAAGGAAAGCGTCAGTTAGAGGACGCGGTTAAGTTTAGGTGTGGGGTGGGGGTAGGGTACACGCGATCCTAGGGCGTCATCTAACTGACGCTAAAGGGCGCCTAAAGCGTCAGATATTGAAGCATGTCCAAATGCTTCCCAAGGTGTCAGTTAAGTGACGCCTTGGGGGTGAGAATGGGCTGATTACAACGTGTCATTTGATGTTGATTTTTGTTTACTGTCATATAGGAGGCAAAACCTGGGAAAATCATGGTTGTTATACCAATACTACTAGAGATGATGTTGTGGAGTGCTCCTGTGACCATATGACCCCTTTTGCTGTGCTTCTAGTGAGTACTGAGACATCCACCCATGAATTAATTCGAAATTGATTTGTTATCGCGACTTTTGTCTCAGTGTAGAAAATTGATGTGATTCAAAGAACAATAATTAAATCAATCTCCTTTGTTGTATTAACATTTTTTACTTTCAATGAACTCAATTTCTAAATTTAATTTCAATTTTAAAGGCAACCAAAGTAAATTAGTTATTTATGTTAAACCAATATTTATATATATATATTTTTTAAATAATCAGCTTAACTTTCACTCCACCTCTTATGTATCTATCTTCCTAACTTGAATAGACTAACTTGAAGATACCCGAAGAGCAGTGGAAAATCCTGTCGTACATCAGCTACGTAGGCTGCGGTCTGTCTGCGTTCTTTTCAGCTTGCACTGTCTTGTCATTCATGTTCAACAGGTGCTGTTCCTTCTGTTTTCATATAAATGCATATAATCTGTGCTTTGCTTCACATTATTCCATGCATAAATTGCATTGATATAAAAAGTGTGAATATAAACTCTTCGAAGCCAATAATGCTTCATTTACATCCATTCTTGCTCATAGTTTTCAATACATACTGTGTGTTTGTGTCTCAGTACCGCAAGGGCAGAAGTGTCGAGCAGCATCCATGTGTCTCTGAGTGGCGCTCTGTTTCTCCTCAACATCAGCTTCATGCTAAGCGAATGGACTGCCACACTGGGAATTAACGAACTCTGTGTGTTTATCGGTGTGATGATACACTACAGCCTGCTGTCTAGTTTCACATGGATGGCTATTGAGGCCTTGCACCTCTACCTTCTTCTCATCAGAGTGTTCAACATTTACATCAGACACTACATGGTTAAGTTGTCCCTGGTCGGATGGGGTGAGCATCAAGACTAAATGTAATGTAAATATCATAGTTTTATGTATCAAATGTCAAATTTTGCAATTGAGTTTCCAGTTTCCTGGATGTTTATTAGACATTATGTCTAATAAACATCCAGGAAACTGGAAACTCAATTGCAAAATTTGATCTCAAAACATAATAGCCTCACACAACAGTCCTTGTTGTGAAGAATCTGATTGGAATGACTGGATTTCAGAAGCAAAATTTTGCAAACCAATGATAAATATGACTGGGTAACGTTTTTTGTATAAACACAAATAGTCGGATTTATGAAGGAACTAAATTCATAACGAAAAACGAATGCAAAATGGAATTGAAATTGTTTATTCTGCCATCTTTTCCTCTTGACAGGAGTCCCTGCTATTGTTGTTGGAGCCTTGTTGTCGGCTTATAACACTATGCCTTTTTATGGCAAAAATGACATGACATTATCAGATGATAATAAAACAAACGCAATGTAAGCCTTCACATTTTAAATTTGCATTAGATGTAGGCAAATGTAGTTAAATTATGTTGCACTCTATGTCAGTCCATCAAATGTATGACGCATATGCTGACATTGTAAACCTTTCTTTCATACAGTTGCTGGATCAAAGAACCTGGCATCTTGTATGGCGTGAACCTTTCCTACTTCACCATCATATTCCTGTTCAATTTAGGAATCCTAATCACAGTGTGCAGACAGATCTTTAAGCTGCGACGTGTGGGAGGCACGCATGCCAAGATGCCAGTCTGGAAGGACGCGGGCACAGTGTTGGGCCTCATGTCTCTGATGGGAACAACATGGGGATTGGCCTTCTTCAGCATTGGATTTACCAACTACGTTATACTCTACCTGTTCTGCATCTTTAACTCAATGCAAGGTATATTTAGTTAGGGTCGAGATACTGTAGATGGAGTACATATGAGTGTCCACGATAAATCTTTTAGTTTAAAACACATGCCAAGTTAAATGTACAGTACACTTAGTATTCAGGTTAAATCTAATGACTCTAAAATCTCATGTGGTCTAACCATCAGGTATAAAGTCTGAACATATTTGCCTTACATCTTAAATACATGCGAGTCTTTATTGACCACTGTCAATATTAAATCCATTTTTAGAAATTTCATTAATTATAAATTAGGGCTGTGCAAAAATTAATTGCGATTAATCGCATCCAAAATAAAAGTCTGTGTTTACATAATATATTTGTGTGTGCTGTATATAATTATTTTGTATATATAAATACACACACATGCATGTATATATTTAAGAAAATGTGTTATTCATATAAAAAATATTTATATTTATATAATATAGATTATGTATTTATATATGTATACAGAATTTAAGTGCAAATAATTCTTAAATATATATACATGTGACGATCTGCGGCTGGAGTGCCCGCTTGAGCCTTTGGGGGGCACTCCTTCCTAGTTTATTGTTTCATTCATGTTTTACCCTGGACTGATTATGGTTTATTTCATGCACCTGTGTTTTATCATCTTGTTTAGTTCACCTGATTTAAGCCCTGTGTTTCTGCCCTGTCTTTGTTGGTTGTATTTATGTGTGCTACGTTGGTGCTCTCAAGTTTCTCGAGTCCTGCTTCTAGTGTCTTGTTTTCAGTTTGTTTAATAAAGCTACACTGCGTTTGGACCCAGCCTCAGCTCTGTTTCTCCGCACGACGTCACAGAACAACCAACCTCAATATGGGTCCAGCAGTCGTCAGCAACCGGGCTATGACAGAATATCTGTCGTCAGTCTTGCAAGAGGGCCGGTCTGTCCAAAGGTACGCGAAGGAGTTCCTGTCCATTAGCAGTCTGGGAGCGCTAGATGATATCCAGCTCATGGGCCTGTTTCTGAATGGGCTGGATTATGAGATCGCCCGATGGATGCCGCGGGACCTTGCCAACTGGACTCTTGACGGGTATGTCGCTCGGGCTTGTTCCTTGCAGGACCTCTTCACTACTGCCCGCTTATTCTACTCGACACCTGCCGAGTGTACTTTACCCGCGAAGCCCTCGTCGTCTTCACCGCTGGTTCACGTCAGTCCCGACGAGCCCGCGCTTCACGTGCGCATTGACGAGCCCGCGACTCACGTCAGCCCAGCCGAGCCCGCGCTTCACGTCAGCCCAGCCGAACTCGCGATTCACGTGAGCCCCGCGAGGGAATCTCCAGTTCAAGTGGATGAATCTCCAGTTCAAGTGGATGAATCTCCAGTTCAAGTGGATGAGTCTCCGGTTCAAGTGGATGAGTCTCCGGTTCAAGTGAGTGAATCTTCAGTTCAAGTGGATGAATCTTCAGTTCAAGTGGATGAATCTCCTGTTCAAGTGGATGAATCTCCTGTTCAAGTGGATGAATCTCCTGTTCAAGTGGATGAATCTCCAGTTCAAGTGGATGAGTCGCCGGTTCAAGTGAGTGAATCTTCAGTTCAAGTGAGTGATGCTGTTCAAGTGGATAAATCTCCAGTTCAAGTGGATAAATCTCCAGTTCAAGTGAGGGCTGAGTCTTCTGTTCAAGTGAGTGAATCTTCAGTTCAAGTGGATGAGTCTCCGGTTCAAGCGGATGAATCTCCGGTTCAAGTGGATGAATCTCCGGTTCAAGTGGATGAATCTCCAGTTCAAGTGGATGAGTCTCCGGTTCAAGTGAGTGAATCTTCAGTTCAAGTGAGTGATCCTGTTCAAGTGGATGAATCTCCTGTTCAAGTGGATGAATCTCCAGTTCAAGTGGATGAGTCTCCGGTTCAAGTGAGTGAATCTTCAGTTCAAGTGAGTGATCCTGTTCAAGTGGATGAATCTCCTCTTCAAGTGAGCGCTGAATCTCCTCTTCAAGTGAGCGCTGCATATCCTCTTCAAGTGAGCGCTGAATCTCCTCCTCAAGTGAGCGCTGAATCTCCTCCTCAAGTGAGCGCTGAATCTCCTCCTCAAGTGAGCGCTGAATCTCCTCCTCAAGTGAGCGCTGAATCTCCTCCTCAAGTGAGCGCTGAATCTCCTCCTCAAGTGAGCGCTGAATCTCCTCCTCAAGTGAGCGCTGAATCTCCTCCTCAAGTGAGCGCTGAATCTCCTCAAGTGAGCGCTGAATCTCCTCCTCAAGTGAGCGCTGAATCTCCTCCTCAAGTGAGCGCTGAATCTCCTCTTCAAGTGAGCGCTGAATCTCCTCTTCAAGTGAGCGCTGAATCTCCTCTTCAGGTGAGCGCTGCATCTCCTCTTCAAGTGAGCGCTGCATCTCCTCTTCAAGTGAGCGCTGCATCTCCAGTTCAAGTGAGTGAGTTGTCCAGCCCAGCGAGTGTGTCTAGCCCTGTGACGCGCCGCCGCAGGAGGAGGAGAAGGAGGACTCGTTTGGTTCGCCAGGCCCCGGTGGGCGTGCCCAGACTCCTCGCTCTGCCGGCCCCGCCTCTGCGCCTCGCCCTGCCAGCCCCGCCTCTGCGCCTTGCTCTGCCGGCCCCGCCTCTGCGCCTCGCTCTGCTGCCCCGCCTCTGCGCCTCGCTCTGCCGGCCCCGCCTCTGCGCCTCGCTCTGCCGGCCCCGCCTCTGCGCCTCGCTCTGCCTGCGCCCTTCAGGCTCCGGGAGGCCTTTCCTGTGCCCGTTCGCCACCCAGGGGCTCCTCCCGTGAATTTCCCCAAGTATTTTTTGGGGGGGGGCAGTAGGTACCCTGTGAGGGCCATGGAGGCGATGCAGACATGGACCTCGCCTCGTCCTGCTCCGCCCTGGCCTTCGCCTCTTCCTGCTCCGCCCTGGTCTCTTCCTGCTCTGCCCTGGCCTCTGCCTCGTTCTGCTCCGCCCTGGCCTCTGCCTCGTCCTGCTCCGCCCTGGCCTCTGCCTCGTCCTGCTCCGCCCTGGCCTCTGCCTCGTCCTGCTCCGCCCTGGCCTCTGCCTCGTCCTGCTCCGCCCTGGCCTCTGCCTCGTTCTGCTCCGCCCTGGCCTCCGCCTCGTCCTGCTCCGCCTTGGTCTCCGGCCCAGTCTGGTATGCCCATGCCCATGCTCTGCGGCCCAGGCCCGCCTTGGCTACCTCCTGGTCCTGTTCCCCTGCACGGCCTGGCCCTCCGTCCCTCCCCGGGATCACCTTCACTCTGCCCCCGCCTGGATCGTTCTAGGAGCGTCTGGAAGCCGCTCCTTAGAGGGGGGGTTATGTGACGATCTGCGGCTGGAGTGCCCGCTTGAGCCTTTGGGGGGCACTCCTTCCTAGTTTATTGTTTCATTCATGTTTTACCCTGGACTGATTATGGTTTATTTCATGCACCTGTGTTTTATCATCTTGTTTAGTTCACCTGATTTAAGCCCTGTGTTTCTGCCCTGTCTTTGTTGGTTGTATTTATGTGTGCTACGTTGGTGCTCTCAAGTTTCTCGAGTCCTGCTTCTAGTGTCTTGTTTTCAGTTTGTTTAATAAAGCTACACTGCGTTTGGACCCAGCCTCAGCTCTGTTTCTCCGCACAGCGTCACAATACATGCATGCATAGGTATTTATATATACAAAATAATTATATACAGCACACACAAATATATCATGTAAACACAGACTTTTATTTTGGATGCGATTAATCACAATTAATTTTTGCACAGCCTTATTATAAATATTATACTTTTTTTTTCGAGAGTTTTTTTCCAGACTACAGGCAAAAGTGTTCCAAATTTATTTTTATTTTTTGCTCATATGCAACCCAGATCTGGGGTTTTTCATAACAGTGTGAACGGCACAAACAACATGGAATCTAAACTTTTCTATTCTAATTTGGTCCACTACCATGTGAGGTCCTAAATCAGATACAGGTCTGATGGTTTGCAGTGCAACCTCAGTCTGAACAGTCACATTAGAATTCATACGACTTTAACATCACTCTAGATCAACATACACACAACCTTTCCATTATTTTTCAATGTAAAAACACTATACAGACATGTTTAACTGTTCCTCTTTTATTATTTATCATGTTCGGGCCCTTAAATGATGACTTCGGTAACCTCTGTATTTACTTCTATATAAGTCTGTGCTGCGCCCCGTTTTTGGGCCTGTCCAAATACCCACACTTGTGCTCTTTGCACTTGACTCGACCACATGTCTTCTCAGATTAAACATGTCCTTGGCCTAAGCAATTCAAGAACACGTAAAGACCGTGTGTGTAGAACGTCTCGGTTACGAATGTAACCCTTGTTCCCTGATAGGGAACGAGACGCTGCGTTGAACGCTGTGGGAACGCCCCTACGTTGTGCGTCATGAAACACGTATCAGCCCAATGGAGAGACAGAACGTTATAGGCGGGTGACATCATCGACCAGGAAACTATAAAGCACCCCACCAACACAAGCGCATCAGCTTCTGATAGGCCTGAAGGAAACGCTAACGGGAGTGCCTTGAGTACGGCGGAACCACGCAGCGTCTCGTTTCCTATCAGGGAACTTGTGTTATTGTTCTGATTTCCTCCACAGGCCAGCTCTGTGGACATAAGCATCTAACGCCATCACCAGGCAGAGTAAATTAAGTTTCTCCTGGTCTTACGACAAAAATGGAGGGGGACAGAAAGCCTGCAGAACTGTAGTTCTAACAACATTAGTAGGAACCTTGGGAACATAACCTGGCTGAGGATGGAGAAAAGCCTTAACCATGCCAGGCAAAAATTCCAGGCACGAGAGTGCAACCGAAAGAGCCTGCAAATCTCCAAATCTTTTTAGTGAGGAGATAGCAAGAAGAAAGATAGTTTTAAAAGTGACAAACTTCTCCGGAACTTCTTCGATAGGTTCAAAAGGAGCTAGGGAAAGACCTTCCAATACAATGGCCAGATCCCAGGTTGGCACCCTCGTACGAACTGCTAGCCTCAGCCTCAAAGTGCCACGAAGGAAACGAGTTATAAGTGGGTGTCTCCCAAGAGAATCTCCACTGAAAGGGA